TCTGTACATTCTCGTCTAATAACTATTATTTTGGAAGGAGCAGAGAACTTTATCCCACTATCAACCACAGACTGTGGAAAACATCAAACCCCTTATTGGAATATGGAATGTGAGAAAGCAGTTAAACAAAAACACAAGAGTAGGAAGAAAGCTCTTGAAACCCGTCTCTTAGACGATTATATTGAGTATAAAAAGCAGAAGGCCATTTGTCAACGTACGATTCGAGCACTCCAACAACGATTCTGGCGTAATTACTGCTCTAGTTTCAACCGTTCATCAAATTTAAGTAGAAAATAGAAATTCGTAAAGCGTATGAAGGTGGGGGTTCTATCTGTATTCCTACCCTTGAATCTCTTGGATCAACATATCCGACCGATGTTGAAAAGGCAAATGCGCTATCTGATCAATCAGCAGTTCCGACAATTATTCACTCGAATTTTTAACTCATAGAAAATTATTTGAACATGACCACAATGCCACCTTTATAAAGAAGCCAAACAATAGTAAAGGGTTGAACGCTCAATTCACGATAGGTGAAATTACCCGAGCAATAAAGACATCTAAAAACTCGACCCCTGGTGACGATCGGATTCCTTATAAAATCTATAAAAATCTTTCCCCCAATTTTTTGGTAAAGCTGCTGAAATTTTTCAATAAAGTGTGGAATGAAGGTACCCTCCCTTCAGCCTGGAAACACGTCATAGTTTGTCCAATCCCTAAGCCAGACAAGGATCCAAGTTCTGTTACATCGTATCGACCAATTACTCTTACTTCTACTATGTGTAAAATTATGGAACGAATGATTGCATACCGTTTGAATTGGTATTGTGAAAAACATAAACTTTTCGACCAGTTTCAGTCTGGTTTCCGTTGGAAGAAGTCACCGCTTGATCATTTGGTACGGCTACATCAAGATGTCAACAAATCATTATGTAACAGAGGCAAGGCAGTGTCTGTATTCTTGGGTATTGAACGAGCATACGATATGGTCTGGAAAGAAGGTTTGTTATATAAACTCAATAGTTATGGTTTTGATGGCCAACTCTTTAACTGGATTAAAGACTTTCTTTCAAACCGATCCTTTTAAGGTCAGAGTCAATGGAGTCGTCTCTGGGGAAAGAGTCTCGGGAATGGTACTCCCCAGGGTAGTGTTATTAGCCCTATTTTATTCCTTCTAATGATTAATGACCTTAGTTCTTCCTTCATTAATAATGGTACGAATTATAGTATTTTTGCTGTTGATCTAGCCCTCTGGAAATCTGGTTGTAATATTAATCACATTCAAACCTGTCTTCAAACAAATCTGAATAATTTAGCCGATTGGTTTTTTTAAATGGGGCTTCACGGTTTCAGCCCTAAAGTCTGCAGTTCTACCTTTTTCTCGTACTTCAAGCACTTTGAAATTAAATCTAAATAACCATCAACTAGTCTCCGTCACTCACCACAAATTTCTTGGAGTTATCTTTGATTCCAGGTTAAATAGGACGCGTCATATCACCCATGTCTCGCACAAATGTGCTAAGCGACTCAATTTGCTTAAATGTGTGTCTGGCACACGTTGGGGAGCGTCCAAAAAGACTTTATTACTTATGTACAAAACCTTAATAAGACCCGTCATTGATTATAGCAGTATCATCTATGACTCTGCGAGTCGTTCAGTCCTTAAACAACTGGACGTTATTCAGAATCGTTGTCTGCGATTATGTTGTGGAGCATTGAAACACACCCATATATCGGCTATGGAAGTGGACTGTGGTGTCCTACCCCTTGACCTGCAGAGACGGAAGATACAACTCAAATTTATAGTAAGATCTTTGTATTATGATTATCCTGTTAATTTCTTTCAAAAGGATTGGAGAGATTATTACGGAACCTTTCAACGATATAACTCACCAACAAAATGTTGCAAAATACAAATGTTTTCACTTTCCTCCTTAGGAGATTCCAGCCCCTGATGTCGACCTCAGTCTTCATTATGCTGGTAAAAAATGGGAGCAAAGTTACTTGCTTTTATCCTTGGCTAAGGAAAAACTAGCAGGCTTCTCTGACTATACATGTATATTTATGGATGGCTCCAAGTCTACCAGTTTTAATTCCTTGGCATTTTATATCAAAAATCTCATCATCAGAAAAGCATTTAAAACTGCACCTGCATCTGAACTGTTAGCTATCCTACAAGCACTTCTATGGCGAGAAGATTCAGATGTTACGAAAGCTCTGATAGTTAGTGACTTTTTAAGTTCATTAATTTCTTTTAAGAATGGTTCCTTTTCATTTAATCCAGTGGTTCCCACCCTGGGATGTGATATCCAATTCTTGGGGATGCGAGGATAGGGTCCAGAAAAACTTTTTTTGTTCATTTGCCATTGCCGTTTTAACTAAATAATTCGTCTACATTCGTGAGCAGAATATTGATTACGATCTTCAATTAATTCACTATTGTGATTCTTTCTTCCCGTTTTAAACATTTTTATTAAACATATGCCTACTATTTTCGTCTCATGATAAATTTTTTTTCAGAGATCCATAATGGTGAAGAAAAGAAAGTGGAACAATGATTACTATCATTTTGGGTTCACATGTACAACTGAGAGAAGTGGGACAGAAAGACCTCAATGCTTTTTATGTTCAGTGATATTTTCTAATGCAAATTTGAAACCTTCCAAACTCAACAAACATTTCAACAGAATACATGGTAGTAGAGAAGTTGGGCATGATGAAGAAGGCACGTTTTGATCATCTAAAAACTCTGACAAAGCTAGGATATGTACCAACTGAAAAGCCTGTACTTGAAGCATCCTATCAAATTGTGTATCAGGTGGTCAACGCGAAAAAACCTTATACCATTGCTGAAGAGTTAGTGAAGCCATGTATCCTTGAAGTTGTTAAGACCATTCTGGGGAAAGATGCAGAAAGGAAGGTGCAACAAGTACCAATGTGATCAGGAACAGAATAATTGATATGAGCGAGGACATCTTGGAACAGTTGATTACTGATATCAAGGTGATTCCTCTAAAAATATCATTGCAATTAGATGAAAGTACAGATGTTTCCCTTTGAAGCCAACTAATTGCTCTTGTTCATTATGTCAAGAATGAAGAAGTATTAGAACACATTCTATTTTGTGAACCACTAAAAACCACCACAAAAGGCCAGAACGTGTTCGACCTCATAAAATAATTTTTCTTAAAACATGGATTGGATATGAACATCTTTGATTCCATATGTACAGATGGCGCTCCTGCTATGCTAGGAAATCGGTCTGGATTTGCAGCCCTCGTGAAACGGGAAATTCCTGAGATCCACGTCACACACTGCCTGCTTCATCGGTATGCATTAGCAGCGAAGACTTTATCAAAAAGTCTGCAAGACGTTTTGTTAATGTGTGAAAATTGTTAACGTAATTGGAGTATGTTCACTGAACCATCGTTTATTTCAAGCGTTTTGTGAAAGCATGGATTCTGAACACGCGATTCTACTATAGCACACGGAGGTGAAATGACTATCCCGTGGATGTGTCTTGCAGCATATATTTGAGCTATGTGAGGAGATCAAGACATTTTTAAAGGATCAAAAGTTGGATCTCTTTTCTTCATTTGATTACCCAGAGCTTGTGCAAATGCTAGCATACATGACCGATATATTTACTCACTTAAATGAACTAAATATTTCCCTCCAAGGAAGTAATAAAAACGTGGTTATTGCACATAAAAATCTGGCTTCCTTCAAAGCTAAAA